CCCCCAAAATGGCGGGGTGCATGGGAGGCTGACACAGCTATAAGTGGAGGGATGAGAGTGGTGGTGGGGGGGGAAAACTGGCCCAGGACAGGACTGGAAAACATTGCTGTGCTGAATTGTCTACTGAATGTGCTGTGGGAGGCAGGGATGGCTGGAGACTCACAAAAAGCAGTGGTGGTGGTGGTAGGGATGATGGGCACGTGTCTCAGGACCGGTGGGATCCCTGGAACAGCTGGATCATGGCAGCTGGGGAGGGAAGATAAGCATCAGAGATGCATGGTGAGAAGGCAGCTTGGCTCCACGGTGTAGCCTGGGCTGGTGTAACCGTGCTTCCGTCGCCAGCGTGCCTTGAGCAGGGGAATGGTGGAGGAAGGGGATCGCCTAGCAGCCCTGCCTGGCTTGTCGATGTCTCTGTGCAGCATCTCATACGCTCTGGTGGAGAGAACAAGGTCCAAAGTCACTGCTGCATCCCAGTTGGATGTCAGGGTCCTTGAGGTCTGGTAGGCAGCACTGCTGACCGTGCCAGGCACACCATGGTGTTGCAGGACTAAGCCCGGCTGAGCTTAACAAAACACATGACACCCTATAATGTGGAATTTTTTGGAAACAGCCAAACTCAGCCCAACAAACAGGACCAAGAGAGGTCTCCCACATCTACCGAGATCCACCTAGTGATGCCAGCACCCAGTCTTGGTGGATAATTGTCACCCCTCTTGCTGCCCCACACCCGGGCACGTGCTCCTTTGAAGCTTGGATTTTGGAAAGGCACCCCAGGCTCCTTCCCTTGTATACCCCCAGACACAACAGGATTTCAGCCTCCTCTCTGCTGGCAGGTCCCATCTCTGCTCCAAAGCAGGCTGGTCCGCACTGAGTGGCCTCGGGTGGAAGACGGAACAATCAGCCAGCAGATCAGTACAGCCAACTAAAGACGGAGGAAAGCCCACCACAACCAAGGGCCTGCTCTTGCTGTGAGTGGTTCAGGTCCAGCTGGGACTCAGAAAGAGCCATTTTATACAGGTGTACACACAAAAACCACAATAAAATCATTAGGTGTTTCCAAACCTGATGGCCAAGTCCATATCTGAGTTACAGCTCAACATCTTGGCCTCAGTCTTCCGAGCATGGGGACTTTAAAACCCCTACGTCCATACTGAAGCTTGAAGTAAAGATGCTCCCAGGGTTATTTTGTCTGAGCACAGGGGGCAAAAGGAGATAATTTGTCTTCAAAGCTTCACTTCCAGCTGAGCCTGTAAGTTGTCAAGATGTGCCTTACTCAGCCTCTGGCAATCACAGCTCTGGGGGAATCCCTGGGCCAGGGATTGTTCTCCAGGTTGCCCTCAGCCCCGAGTCAGCGTCCAGATATCGGCACAAAATGCAGGATTTTTTTTTTCCTTTTTAATATTTTAAAAAATAAATAGAAGAAGAAACAAAACGTTTAAAATTTGTTCTTTAAATATTTCCAGCATTGCACGGACAGCACTTTAGTACTCTAGCCTGTTCAATCAGTAGTTTATTCTGATTCCTAGTTAAAATGTGATCCTCCCAGCCTGCTTTTTCTTTCTGTCTTTCTTAAGAACACAACGTATTCTTCTGTAACGTCAAAAAACAAACCCTGCAGTGTTCATTGGACATCTTTGAGTGTGGGTCAGGGCTCTGTGATTCCTTTTCAAACCTGAAATGCCCATAACCTCACCAAATAGCATCCCAATAGCTCTCTCTTACTGAAGAAAAGAAACAAACCAAACCAAAACAAGCCACACGCACACACACACACGGACAGAGAAATCCTCTTCCAAGAGCCTTTGCGATGCCAACCATTGGGTTCAGTCACTGTCTGAGAGCGGTGGTGTCCCCTGGAAATCTTTGAGGTGTAAGATGGAGTGGGGGTGCTGGGTGGGGGAGGAGAATGGGAGGTCAGAGATAGTCATCTTCGCTGGAAGGGGAGGTGGGATTTGAGCCCTCAAGGTCAGAGTCCAGCGAACTCCCTGATGGTGTTCGGCTCATCTTCCACATCTGGGAGGCAAAGGTTCTCCCCCAGCTGCACGGGTATCCCACAGGCCTCAGCTGGTGAATTAGCCCCATGGCCACCTGCCAGTGGCTTCTTGCAGTTCACTTGCTACTCTTTGCACTCCTCTGTTTGCTCATGGCTGTTAGCATCTGGCTGATGTATGAGGTCAAAAGATCGTCCATCTTGTACCCCTGAGTAGGAGAGAGAAGATGTTACCTTCCTTTAGAGCACAGTTCACAGTCTCTGGCTTGTGCCTCCTGAATACCCTGGCTACTGGTTGCTGACTTCTAAGTTTTCAGGTACATTTTGACCTGTTCCACCATTCTCCTTGGGTGACACCACCACAAGGAACAGAGCCCCGACATAATTTGCAGTGTTGAGGTGGAGGAACTCACCATCCCTGGATGCTGTTGAGGCTAAGGACATAGGAAGTTTTGGATGGGACCTGGGTTTTCAAATGGCCAACACAATACTAATACAACAAAATACAATTAATCCAACAGGAATTTTTATCCTTCATGCTTTGTGTTTATGATAGTCTAGGAGGAGGTTTGATGCTGTGACTGTTAGTAGGGACAAGCTGGGATCTTGGTTAAAGGGCTCAAGAGCACCCCCTGAGCCCACATCAGCTTTAATGTGCCTTTCAGTCCAGTGGCAGGAAGCAGTGTCCCATGCTCCTGAGATGGTGATGTCCCGAGCACCTCAGACTTGCTTGTAAGTTGGATGATGGACCAAATGAGAGCCCTGATCCATTGAGCAGAGCCATGGGAAATCCATAAGAAAAAAAACCCCAAACATATTGGGGGCTCTTCTAAGAGACCACTTTGAGCCTAGAAAATCCCCGAGACACAATTTGCTGGAAGCATTTAATTTTGCCTGCCAAAGTCACAATTTGATCTAACTGTGCCCAATGACCTTTGAGGCTCCTTACCAGGGAAGTCTCGCAGAGCAGCTTGCTTCCTCTCACCAGGTTGCCAATGGTTATATGGAAGTACGTGTTGCCACTGCTCCAGTTGGAGATCTTGGTGAAGGGGTGAGTGATGAGAATATCCTGGTGGGAACACAAGACTGACACTCAACACATGAGAGCCTCAACTTTCATGAAGGGCTGTGGGGACCTCTCGTGTCCTCATTCACTTTCCCTCAAAGCCAAGACCAAGGATGTCTGCTGTGATGAGACTGTACCATGGCCTCACGGGAATGGCAGTGAGATGCAAGACTCTGAATCCTCCAGTGCTTGTGAAGAACTGTTGTAGCAGAACGACCATGCAGCTGGTTGAACTAACTAGTAGGAGCTCATTTACTCCAGCTCCTGTCCTAACGTCTGTGAAAGGATTAAGGAAGGAGTATGTATATGCTCCAGTCACAGGGCTCTAAAGTGGATGCTCCCCACCCATCTCCTGTTGAAAAGGGCTAAACTGGCTCTGTGAAACAGACAAACTTTTCTGTCTATCCAGACTTTCCAATTAGGCTTAATGAGAACTCCTGAAGTTCTGAAGAACACACTTTTGGGGATAACCTCTGTGAGAGTTGGGGAATGGATCTGGATAGACTGGAGTCATGGGCGGAGCCCAACTGGGGGAGTTTCACTGAGGGCAAATGCCGGGGGCTGCCCTTGGGCCACAACAATCCCCAGGGGGGCTACAGGCCTGGGGAGGAGTGGCTGGAGAGCTGCCGGTCAGAGAGGGACAGGGGGGGATGAGAATGAGCCAGAGTGTGCCCAGGGGGCCAAGGAGGGCAATGGCATCCTGGCTGGTGTCAGCACTGGCATGGCCAGCAGGGACAGGGAAGGGATCTGAGCCCTGGACTCGGTACTGGGGAGGCCGCCCCTCGATTCCTGGGTTCAGTGTTGGGCCCCTCACCCCAAAAAGGCCATTGAAGGACTTGAGCGTGGCCAGAGAAGGGCAACGGAGCTGGGGCAGGGTTTGGAGCACAGGTCTGCTGGGGAGCGGCTGGGGGAACTGGGGGGTTCAGTCTGGAGAAGAGGAGGCTGAGGGGAGACCTCATCACCCTCCACAGCTCCCTGCCAGGAGGGTGCAGAGAGCTGGGGATGAGCCTCTTGAACCAAGTAATAAGCGACAGGACAAGAGGGAATGGCCTCAAGTTGTGCCAGGGAAAGTTTAGACTAGATGTCAGGAAGCATTTCTTTGCAGAAGGGGCTGTTGGGTGTTGGAATGGGCTGCCCAGGGCAGGGGGGGAGTCCCCATCCCTGGAGGGGTTGAAGACTCGGGCTGACCCAGCGCTGAGGGATCTGGTGGAGTTGGGAACTGTCAGTGCTGGGTTAACGGTTGGACTGAATGATCTTCAAGGTCCTTTCCAACCTAGATGATTCTGTGATTCTGTGAATGGGCTCAGGAGCATCTGGTGAATATCTCGGTTTTTCTTACCTTGGTTTTGGGATCAATGAGGCTGACTCCATGCTTATTGATGGCAATTAGAAGGATTTCTGGATAATTTGGCTCTGTAGTTTGCTGTTGGAAATAACATGAACTGGTTAGGGGATGTGTCACGCAAAATCAAGTCCCTTCCTATTTCCTCTCTCCTTGTCTGTCTCCTATCAGCATTTGAGGTCCCACTAATTGCGATCCAGTTTATCCTTTAAAGGTAAACATAGAGCTCATTAAAGTATCAGCAATAGTCAGGGCTGTCTAGTTAAGTACAGATCTCATAAA